GACTGTCTAACAGCATACTGGCGGCTTGTTATCTGGTCAGCGTTCTTAGTCCCAGTTGGGCTTACTTTTCTCCTGATTGGGTTTTTCATTCTGGCATCTTGTCTTTGAGTGTAATTGCCGCTCTCTCTTCCCCCTCCCCCATGTTTTCTATCTTCTCGGTTCTTAGATTGCTTCAGGGGAGACACCAAGAGGCTCCTCCAGAAAACTAATGATGAATGTAATGAAAAGCCTCTTTCTTATGGGACCTCGGTGGCTTCCTGATTCCCTTCCCAGTTACCTGTTGCATTGGTTGTCAGTCTTTCAGCTTTAGACTGAGGCAAAGATGGCATGGATGCTTGGTGTTCCTGTGGTTCTGCCACCTATTGCTGCCAATTGCAACTAGAGGTTTGAGCTAGTTTCAAGAGAATCATTTAGATATGAGCTAATTGTTTGCAGAGTTATTTGGCTGTTTCAGTGCTTTCTTTTCTTTGAATCCTGTAGTTGGCTGTATTGCTTCACTTTCTTTCTGGATGTTTTCTCAGTGAGGGGTGATCATAACAATCTTCAGCTCTGTGCTTCTGTGAGGGGCCAGGTTCTCCCTCTCTGATTTCCTGTAGGCCAACGTGACTCCTATGGCTGATGTGACTCAGGAGAGGGAAGCCATCTCAGAAAGATAGCTTCAGGGAGTCACCAAGGCCCAACCAGAAAGAGACATTTTGCTATATTCACTGCTTTTCTGGGAGAAAGGCCCTTCAGCTTCCTGGAGCTATCCGGGCTGATATGTATATATTAGACCCTGGCATAAGTCAAAGTGAATGGAGTTCTAGACCTACCGGGGACCATGAGCCAGAACCTGGCCCCGCTCAGAGAGGCACGAGGAGCAATGGCCTATAGAAACCCACGTGTGGTAGGAAGCATTCTATGTCTGCCATCGACCGGGTCAGGCACCCAAAAAGGCAGGTGCCCCAAAACAAACCCTATCTGATTAAACAAAATTGCTACAGAAAGGCGAACTGTTGGACAGAACACCCCAAACGAAAAACGAGCAAACGATCATGATTTCACCATCGTCACCGCGCCGCCGTCTGCGCTGCTCCCTCCTCCCCGGGGGGGGGGAAGTTGGAGCCCAAAACCCCCATGCCGGCTATCCACACCCCTAGTTCTGTGACTGATGTGAGACCTGACGGTCGTGCAACTCTGGTTCCGGAATTGTTTCAGTGCTGTTCCTTGTGGTGTGGTCCTGTCTTACTGGTGGTGTGCGAGCCAGAAGTATTTTCACCTGTACTCGGGCAGCATGCACCTAGAGTTACCTTCCCTAGGTGCTCTGTGAGTACTTTCCTTATGGCTTGGGGTTATCTTCCACAAGTTGCGGGTGGGTTACCTCCATTGAGGTCTTTTACTGCTCGGTAATTGCCCGCCCTTGGAGTCAGCTGGGGTGTTTCATGCACCTCTGTTTGCCTCTGGGTAGGAGGTAGTTTCGTCACTGGTAGGGGCTGCAAGGTACTGTGCAGCTGTTCTTCACCTGATATAATGGCTGGCTCTGTTCCGCCTGGGTACGTTGTACTCATACAGGGGGTTTTCTTTTGTTTTTGTTTTCTGCCTGGTGGATGGTTTGCCCTTGGTTTTGACACCACTTATATATATACACTGTATTGTGTTCTTGGAGGTCTTCCACTAGACACCCGTGTGTGTTTAAGTACTGGGGGTTCAGCTCTTAGTTGTTTACTTGGTAGTTTGGGGTGCCGGTTAGCAGTACCTTGCCTGGGGCTTCCCCTTAGCAGAGCATCTAAGGGGAAGCCCAGGAAAACCCCACTGGGGCTCAGTGGTCTGATAGATGTGTCTCCTGGATACCATCTCGCTTCGTGCGAGTTTGAGGGTTACTCTGTCCTCTTGTCTCAGGGTGACAATCACCTGTTTTGCCTCCGTCATGCTGCCTGTTGGGTTGGTGACACCTTCGACCCTGAGTCCTGTAAGTGGTGTTTCTTGCTTGTTCTACAGATCAGCCAGTCCACTGATCTTAGGGTGCTGGCGGCTTCGACGTTGCATGTGCATTGTAGGTTGTTGCAGCATGCTAGGTTGGTTGCTCACCTGGATGCCCCGAGACTGCCTCGTTTTGGTTATAGGGGAAAACACCCAGACTTGGGGGTGTTAGCCGCTTCAACTTTGGTTTCGTCTGTGCCCCCGGGTCCTTTCCCTTCTGTTGTTTATCTTGCTCGTCTTCCCTCCCCCCCCTGCTTCCGGGTATGAAGTGTCTGAAGGTTTCGGAGTCGGGGCAGAACAAAATTACGCTGCTTGCTCGTTGTCCGAACTTGGGGGTCTTTTCGTGGCTCTGCCCCTTTCAGCAGATTGGGCCAGTCTGTTACGTAGTTGATTCGGTCTTTTCAAGTCTTCGCATCAGGTCTTTCTGATGCGGGTCAATCTCCATTTGTATGGTGAGCAGGTAGCTTCGTTGATGGCGTCCCACCTGCGTATCTCGTCTTGATGGCAGTATAAAGTTTCCTGGCAGTCCTTTTGTTATTTCTTGTCCCTTTGTAGGTTTTCTTCTGTTTTGGATTGGGTTGTCTTGTTCTTCCTGTCTTGGTTGTTTCAGGACCGTCATTTTACGCTGAATGCTATCGCCTCGTATCGTAATTATCTAAGTGTAATTACCTAAGTGTAGTTACAGGATGAGAGCTACGCTCGTGGTGTCCCGTCTACCCAGCACTCTGTCATATAATGCTGTGAAGCTACTGACGGTTTTGGCCTCCACCACCTTCTCACTTAACTTGTTCCAACCGTCTATCACTCTGTTTGCGAAAGTGAATTTTCTTATATTTCTTCAGCATCTTTGTTTAGTTAGCTTAAATCTATGACCTCTTGTTCTTGAAGTTCCAGGTCTCAGGAAATCTTCCCTATTGATTTTATCAATTCCTGTTACTATTTTGTAAGTAGTGATCATATCTCCTTTTTCTTCTGTCTTCTAGTTTTGGGGTATTTTATGCCTCTAACCTCTCCTCGTAGCTCTTGCCCTTTAGTTCTGGGAGCTACTTAGTAGCATGTCGGCCGAGCGAACAGCACACTGGACTTGTGATCCTGTGGTCCTGGGTTCGATCTCAGGCGCCGGTGAGAAACAATGGGCAAAGTTTCTTTCACCCTATGCCCCTGTTACCTAGCAGTAAAATAGGTACCTGGGTGTTAGTCAGCTGTCACGGGCTGCTTCCTGGGGGTGGAGGCCTGGTCGAGGACCGGGCCGCTGGGACACTAAAAAGCCCCGAAATCATCTCAAGATAACTCAAGATAAGATGTCTTTGCACCTTTTTCAGTTTGTTGATGTGCTTCTTAAGATATGGGCACCATACAACCGCTGCATATTCTAGCTTTGGCCTAACAAAAATCATGAACAGTTTCTTTAATATTTTGCTATCCATGTATTTAAAAGCAATTCTGAAGTTAGAAAGTGTGGCATAGGCTCCTCGCACAACGTTCTTTATGTGGTCCTCAGGTGATAGTTTTCTATCTAGAACCACCCCTAGGTCTCTTTCTTTATCAGAATTCTTTAAAGATTTCTCACATAACTTATAGGTTGTAAGGGGTCTATCTGGAGGCTCATGCAGCACTGGCGGAGTCCCTTCAGCTTGCGTTCGGAATGGATGTTACTTCTGCACCGTTCTGCAAGTTGTCTTGTGTGTTGTTTCATTTCCGGCCTGTTCATGTGCCACCTGAGCTGTCCTGGTCATTGGACCGGGTGCTCTCTTTGCTATCTCTCCTTGGTTTGTTGTGGCCCCTTCGGTTCAAGATTATTTTGCGAAGACTTTCTTTTTCCTGTTGGCATTGGCCACTGGGGCTCAAGTTGGGGAGCTTCATGCTCTTCTCCGGTGCAGAGATTTCTGCTCTTTTGGTCCTGGTGGTAGGTTGATTTGCAGCTGTCACCTTCTTTTCTGGCGAAGAATGAGACTGCTGTTTTCCAGAGGTGTCCTTGGGTTGTTGATGCTTGGTTGGTTCTGTCGGGGGTGCATCATGTGCTACGTGTCCGGTTGCGGCTCTTCGCCGTTACCTGTACACCACGGCCTCAGTGGCTGGGAATGTGCTTTGGGTTGACCCGGTTTTCCCTCTTCCCTTTTCCAGGGCTCGGGTCTCCCAGGTCGTTCGCAGGGTTATATGGTCCAGCGATAATGCCGTCTTTTCCCGTGCCCATGACATTGGTAAGTTTGCTGCTTTGGCTGCCGTCTTCGGTAACATGTCTTGGGCTGACATTCAGACACGGGGTTTTTGGCGGTCGAACAGGGTCCTGGCTGCTCGCTACCTAATCAATGTTTCTGGCCCTAGAAGGGCATGTGTGTCATTGGGTCGGCGGTTGTAGCCAGTTGTCTCGACTTTGAGTTGAAGAGTGAGTGGCGACCGCCTTCCGGAGTAAGTCTCTCTCGTTTTATCTTTGGTTTATTAGCTCTGGGGAGCCGAAGGGGCTTCCCCCAGAAAACCAGCATTGAATGTAATGAAATACCATCTTCTGGGTGAGACCTGGAGGCTCCCTGCAATCCTCCCTCCTTCTGGTTGGTGGTTTTTCACATGTTTTGACGTCCAGCCTCAGAACTAGTGGTATGGATAGCCGGCACCGGGCTCCCACTTTCCCCTTTGGCGGCGCGTTGCCGATTGTAACATCATGCTTTTTTCTCGTTTTTCGTTTGGGGAGTTCTGTTCAACAGTTCGACTTTCTGTAGCAATTTTGTTTAACCAGATAGGGGTTTGTTTTGGGGCGCCTACCTTTCTAGGTGCCTGACTCGGTCAATGGCAGACATAGAATGCTTCCTACCACACGGGGGTTTCTATAGGCCATTGCTCCTCGTGCCTCTCTGAGGGGGGCCAGGTTCTGGCTCATGGACCCTGGTAGGCCTAGAACTTCATTTGCTTTGACTGATGCCAGGGGTCTAATATATATATATATTTGCCTGGATAGCTCTAGGGAGCCTCCGGGTCTCACCCAGAAAATGCAGGTTTTTTGTTATATATAATATATAATTATGTACTTATTTACTCATTATCAGATGGTACCCAGGATGTCAACACTGAGGTTCAACAAAGGAAAAAGGTAAAAGAAAATGCAGGTGGTACACAGGAAAGAGAACAGACTGATGACGAAGATAAAAGTAATGAAACCCTTAAAGATACGGAAGGCAAAATGAGACGGAAAACCGATAGACTGCAGTCAGAAAAGCAAGCGGATATAAAGGAAGGCGAGCAACTTAATGACATCATGGAACTGGAACAGCCGAACCATGATCTTGATCTACAGAGGAAGAACCAGAGGGAGAGTGCAAGATACACTTCTGGAAGAGTGGAAAAATTGAAGGAAGTCCAGAGTGAAGGACTTGGCACACATGTAGAGGAAGCTTTATGTAGGGTGAACCAGATAGATCAAGAGAAGAAGACTCAGGATGACAAGGGTCAAGAGGGCAAAAATCAGGATGAAATGGACATTAAAAAGAAAATTAATGCAGGAAACTTAAAAGAACCATCAGAAAAGCGGCTGAAGGCTGTGACTGAAATAACTGAGCCAGACGGTAATATTGTGAATGAAGGCACCCAACGCAGGAAAAGAAGAGCGGCATCAAAAATTACTTCTTTCAAGGAAATGAGCCTCATTAGGTAAGGTTATTCTTAGAGCATTGTTTATAGCAATTAATAATTTATTTTCCATGTACTGTATATAATGTGCATCTCCACAGGTTAGGAAATCCTTATGATTTTCACCCAATTTGTCCTTGATGAGATTTCTCTGGCATCTTGAAGGCCTTAGAACATAACTTGAAACTTGGGACACATGTGTATAATAAGTAGTACTGTATTCTAATTGTAATTTTACATTATAATCACCTGATGGCAATTTTTAGAAGCCATGTCTGATGAGATGTGACTTTGGGTACTGTTGTGACAACGGGGGGTGGGGCCTAGTAGCTGAGTGGACAGCGCTCTGGACTCCTAGGCTCCAGGTTCAATTCCCTATGATGGCAGAAACAAAATGGGCAGAGTTACTTTCACCCTGATGCTCCTGTTACCAAGCAGTAAATAGGTACCTGGGAGTTAGACAACTGTTTCGGCTGCTTCCTGGGGGGGTGTGCGTGAGGAAAAAAAAATAGTTAGTAACAGTTGATTGACAGTCGAGAGATGGGCTGAAAGAGCAGAGCTCAACCACCGCAGGCACAACTAGATGAATACATCCTTAAGAGCCATGTTGTTTTAAGCTGCATTTGATTTCTGTTCCTTTGGCAAGCATCACTAGTTCCTGGGTGTCATGTTTGACTACTCACCTTTTGGCGCTGGTGATTTTCTTGCAGGTCTATGGTACGGCTCTTTGTACATTGACCCACCAAGTCCACACTCACTCCTTGTAAATTTGAAGGGTGCTTGTTGCTTCTGCTACTTCTCGACAATCATTCTCCCTGCCTCTGCCATGCTACCTGTTGAGTCAGTGACACCTTCGACCCTGTAATGTATATAGGTCTCCATTCTGTCTGAGCTTGCTTCTCATCACAAAGTTTACCAGGCGGTGATTTGCATTGTGGGGCTCATTTGGATGCCTTGGAGTTTGTCTGTAACTGGTGTAAACATAGTTTAGAATGCCTGAGAGCCGAGTGGACAGCGCTTCGGATTCTTAGTCCTGAGGTTCCGGGTTCGATCCTTGGTGGAGGCGGAGACAAATGGGCAAAATGTTTCTTTCACCCTGATGCCCCTGTTACCTAGCAGTAAATAGGTACCTGGGAGTTAGACAGCTGCTATGGGCTGCTTCCTGGGGATGTGTAACAAAAAGGAGGCCTGGTCAAGGACTGGGCCGCGGGGACGCAAAGCCCCGAAATCATCTCAAGATAACTCAAGATAAGATAACAAGTGACCTAGAATTGGAAGTGTTGGTGAGCTCCCAAAACTTTGAGTGTTAAAAGAAAATTCTATGGATTATTTTCATGAAATTCTATGGTTTATTTTCATGTTAAATGATACAAGAAAAATATGGTAATTTGATGACAAATAGCTTGAAGATGCATTTTTTTTTTGGAAATCTGGATTTCATGCAAATTACAATATTACCATCTTGATTCACTTTCTCTCCCGCTAATCCAACTATTTCTTTCCAGAACTCTTGGCTAACAGCTCTCAAAGATTTTTAGTTTGTCCCCAAAATTTAACTTTCTTTATTTAAATCATTGATAAAAATTAATGATTCAATTAAATCAATTAAATTTTATCAAACTGTGTACACTTAAAAATTGTGCTCCGATAATTGAATATATTTTTTTTCCAGTAAAATGCGGCAGGAGTCCGGCAACACAGTTGTGTGTAGTACCCATCACTCGAGGAAGTCTGGACGCAGGTCTGCTACAAATTAAGTTGATTACGAAATAACTTAATGTACATTTATAATTCATATTCTGTAAACATAGAGTTTGTTTATTTGCCAGACCTAAATTGTTGAGTCTTTGTATTCTTTGTTAGGTCAAGTGAATGTAACAGAATTATTAGATTTAACTTTGTTACAGTTATGGCCTTTATAAGGATGAATTTAAACTTATGCTGCCATAATTTTTTATTCAAAATATTCAGATTATTGAATAGTGTTAGATTTTTTAGCTGCAATCAGTAGAGTTGAAGACCAAGCAAAACTGGCATTAAACATGTCTTCCACCAGATGTTTTAACTTTGCACAAGTTAATCAGAAGAGAATTAATATATCTGCCTGAGAATTTGTGCAATTAGATGACAAGATATTGGTTACCAGTGAAGCTTTTTTTTAGTTGGAAGTTCATGAAAGAGATTGATGTAGTACAAGAATCATGTGTGTGTAATGTGTATCAAAGAGACAGGTGAATGAATATTTAAAATACACCATTTTAAAATGTTTAAAGCAAAAAAGTAACATTTGGTTTCTTGTTAGTTCTTGAGCTGCAAACCGTTTGAATTTTTTTTTAGCCATAGATCATCTAATGGAATATATGCAGAAAATTGATATAGAAATAAATGTAATTGCTTAAATTGCCAAGTTAAAATGGAAGTATATTGTCTATTATATACAATATAGTAGATCATATATTAGGGAAGATAATTCAGAACTGCTAGTAGCAGCTACATCTTGTATCCTGAAATTTATTTGTTTACACATACATCATCTGTTGTTCCCCTGCGTCCCACCACCTCGCCCTTCCCCTGCGTCCCACCACCTCTCCCTTCCCCTGCGTCCCACCACCTCTCCCTTCCCCTGCGTCCCACCACCTCTCCCTTCCCCTGCGTCCCACCACCTCTCCCTTCCCCTGCGTCCCACCACCTCTCCCTTCCCCTGCGTCCCACCACCTCTCCCTTCCCCTGCGTCCCACCACCTCGCCCTTCTCCTGCGTCCCACCACCTCGCCCTTCCCCTGCGTCCCACCACCTCTCCCTTCCCCTGCGTCCCACCACCTCTCCCTTCCCCTGCGTCCCACCACCTCTCCCTTCCCCTGCGTCCCACCACCTCTCCCTTCCCCTGCGTCCCACCACCTCGCCCTTCCCCTGCGTCCCACCACCTCGCCCTTCCCCTGCGTCCCACCACCTCGCCCTTCCCCTGCGTCCCACCACCTCGCCCTTCCCCTGCGTCCCACCACCTCGCCCTTCCCCTGCGTCCCACCACCTCGCCCTTTCCCTGCGTCCCACCACCTCGCCCTTCCCCTGCGTCCCACCACCTCGCCCTTCCCCTGCGTCCCACCACCTCGCCCTTCCTCTGTGTCCCACCACCTCTCCCTTCCCCTGCGTCCCACCACCTCGCCCTTCCTCTGTGTCCCACCACCTCTCCCTTCCCCTGCGTCCCACCACCTCGCCCTTTCCCTGCGTCCCACCACCTCTCCCTTTCCTTGCTCCCCTGCATCCCATCATCTTAGCTTTGTATTTCCATTTGTTAACTAGAAGCAGTCATCACTGAGATGTGTTCATAACCAGTTGTTATAGCTATTCCCTCCATGTCGACACCACTGGGTGTCTCCACTAGTGCTGCATACATTGAAAGTGTGCAGGAAGTTGTGTGAAGTTGCCTATTATAAGTTTACACTGGGCTGAATAATGTTGCAGTCTCACCTCACAAAAGTGTGGGTCATCCCTCACAAGGAAGTTTTCACTACAACTGTTGACTAATGTTCTAGGCTTTATTCCACTTTTCTTTTTTAACATTGACAGTTTTTTAACTTTGACATTAGGGAAAAGATCTTGGCACTTGTTCCCTAATTTTAACCAACCGTAATATTCACAAGTATAAACCCACATTGTTTTGTCATCTAGCCACATGAGGACTGAATTCTTTTCTTAGGTATCGAGCAAAGAATCTGATTTGCATGTATATTCAGATTTGTGGTCAATTCTGCAATGTTTGCTAGTCATTGTAAGTTTGGGGAAGGTATACAAAAAATACCTGCAGTAACATTTAGAAGTTGTAATAAGGACAGAGAAAAGCTATGAATGTTTATTGTTATAGTGATTAGAACTAAGCCTCTAATTGAAAATTTCAAGTTAACAAAGTGTGTAAGTTATCTTTGAACATTATTTTATTTCGAGTACTGTAGTAATATGTCTGGTGGTTCAACAAAAGCTGTAGTGAAGGCTGTCGAAAATGCTTAGTATGATAAGGCAAGAAAAGTTTGGTGAAGTTTTCTTTCATGAAGCTATGTAATTACTGGTGAAGTAGGAATAGAGTTGGGGGGATAAGAGGTAGTGTATTTGGGATTGTGCATTCATATTTAATACTATTAAAGTCTTTTTATTTGAGGAGTGACTTTTGTTAAATATGTTCCCTATTGGTGGGCAAGAAAGTTACTGTAATGTTAAAGAAGGTTAATTTGGTTAAAAGGTGTGAGCCTCGAATGTTGGCATATTTTAGTAATGCACAGTTAGTATACACATGAGCAGTGGAGACATGATAATAAAAACACCCCAGAGTTAGTGTGCCACAATTGTTAGAGGTAAATCTTGCTCAAAGTTCTCACATGTTATTTTGTTAATGGGAATAATTACCGATTATGAAAGATGCCCTAAATATTCATAAATATAAATTAAATAACAAATATTTAGATATTTCTGTGATAAGAAAATTTGAGAGCCATTTAGAAAGTGTAATAATAATAATAATACAAATGTAAATCAGTAGTAGTATTATTACAGTACTGTATCTGTAATAAAAATCCATTTACTACTAATAATAATAACTGTAATAATACAGTATTATTGTTAGTTATTGTCAAAAGGAAATATTTAGACATTACCATGTTCAAGTGAAGCTGGGTTATCATTTTTATATATTTTCTAGCCACTGTAATTTGGCAGGCCATTTGTAAGTGCCAAGACCTCACTAAGAGTGCTTGTCACACGTGAAGCTGGCACAGTTAAGCTTATACATTAACAATATGCCTTAAGCTACTACAGTCTTAAATATTTCACGAATTTCAGCTTTTAATTTAGTATAAATCTGAATCTAAATTCTATATAAAATACTGTGTGGGACCATACATTTGAGTTAAACCAAAAGTTACATTAGCAGAAATACATGCTCATTTTTGCAAACACTTTGATAAGATTTTGTTTTGTTAAGGATGTGTGCTAATTTCATGCCTGGAAGCATAACATTAGTCTGTGCACTTCCAGGGGAGTTTTTTTTTTTTTTTTTTTAAGATTTCATTGATATAAACTAGATAAATTAGTTTTGTCCACTTCCATATCATTCATAGTGTTGTCTTATTTATTTGATCTAATTTGTTGTGAAAAACTTTAACAATTGTCACTGGTGACCAAATGTCAGTCTTGTGCCAGGCCTTGCCTAAGCCCATTCCAAGAGCCAAATAAATTTGTTTTTAAGTTTTTTTTAGATTTTGAAACTGCCTTATACATAACTGTACTTAGGTATCCTCAGTAGAGATACTGTGAACTCGTTTTTCTGCCAGGTAATAGTGTAATATTGTATTGTGAAAACCCTCATTGTTTTGACCCATTTCCTTTCCTCTTTCTCTTCCTTATGAAACACTCGTGATTGGGGGTTTAAAACCACCCATCAGGGCAGAAGCTTGACAAGGTGTACCTGCCTCGCCTAAATCATTGGATGAACAATGATGATACATTAATATCTTCAGTAATATTTAAATTGTTTTAATCACATTTTGTGTTGAAATATTAAACAATACAAATTCATTTATCTAAACAATGCTTATGCAGGTTCCTACATTACCGGGAAGGAAACCCATTTGGGTACATAACTCTTGTGCCGTATCTAAACTGGATCCTGATAGATATAAGAATGCACTGAAGATTTATCATGTAGACTGATTGTTTTACCATAAATAAACTGGAAGATTAAAGAAATACTGTTTATTATTAAAACAAAAATGAGGGGAAAAGTGTGTAATAGCCACCCCCCCTCCACCTTGCTTCCACCAGCATCACCTGTGCCTCTTCTCCATTTGCCTCCATGTTTGTAATGTATATACAATCAACCCATCCACACTATTCTCTGGGGGGAAAGCCCCTTCGGTACCCTGGAGCTATCCGGGCTGGTATGAATGTATTAGACTCTGGCATCAGTCAAGCGAATGGAGTTCTTAGGCCTTCGAGGGACCACGAGCCAGAACCTGACCTCCCTCAGAGAAGCACGAGGAGAAATGGCCTATAGAAACCCCCCCATGTGGTTGGAAGCATTCTATGTCTGCCATCGACCGGGTCAGGCACCCAGAAAGGTAGGCATCCCAAAATAAACCCTATATAGTTAAAAAATGTTTGTACCGAAAGTCAAACTGTTGGACAGAACTCCCTAACGAAAAATGAGCAAACAAGCATGATGTCACAACTGTCAACATGCCGCCGACTGCGCAGCTTCCCCTGCCCCGGAATGGGGGAGTCCCAGAACCCCCACACCGGCTCTCCACCCTTCAGTTCTGTGGTTGATGTGAGACCTTGGTGGTCGTGAGCCTCTAGCTCCAGGATTGTCTCAGTGCTGGGCCTTGTGGTGTGGTCCTGTCTATTGGGGGTGTGTGAGCCAGATATAATTTCACCAGTACTCTGGCTGAATGTACCTAGGGTTACCTTCCCTTGGTGCCCTGTAAGTGCTGCCCTTGTGGTTCTCTTCCACAAGTTATTTGGGATCTACCTCCGCTGTGGTCTATTGCTGTTTGGTGGTGTGGACAACTGGGCCTTTCCCGAGGCAGACTGTGATGGAAGATCAGGCTCCACAGTTTTGTTTGCGGTGGGCTCAGACCAGACGTTGCTTTTGGCTACGTCTTTTCAACTTTCTTCCTTTCCCAGCTTCCTCCTTGGTAGGGTTAACCCCACGTCCCCAGTGGTGGCTACCTTATCACCTGGGGTGACTTAATCTTTGATAGTTACCACAGCACCTTTTGCGCCCTTCCTTCTGGCAGGTCCAAGATGATGTTCTCACCATCGAATGCACACATTTTCTGCAACTGCTGCTACATTCCATAATCTGTTTGCCCCTGCTATGTACCCTTAACATGTTGATGTCTGTCATGATTACTGTACCCACCCTGATATTTTGCACATTTACTGACAGCTTTTAGACTTTGTGGATGTTTGAATTAAGTTTAAACTCGCCTGGACCAGCATGTGGGTCATTGAGGATCCCTCTAAGGAAGTGGCTACTCACTTAGCTGCCCTATCTTATATTGGTGAGGTCCCAGTTTGCGTTTCCAAGAATGTCTTATTGAACGGGAGCCGGTCGGCCGAGCGAACAGCACGCTGGACTTGTGGTCCTGGCTTCGATCCCAGGCGGCGTCAATGGGCAGAGTTTCTTTCACCCTATGCCCCTGTTACCTAGCAGTAAAACAGGTACCTGGGTGTTAGTCGGCTGTCACGAGCTGTTTCCTGGGGGTGGAAGGCCTGGTCGAGGACCGGGCCGCGGGGACACTAAAAAGCCCTGAAATCATCTCAAGATAATGCTGGTATTGGCACAATCCATCTTCTGCCCCACGATGAGATGGGGTACAGGGAACTTAAGGACTGCCATGTGGATATTAAGTATATCCTTGAGAACCAGGGTAATCTTGTCTCCAGGTTGACAAACTCACTTGACCCCCATTGCAGTTGTCAGCATCATCCCTTTCGTGTGGTCAAGGTGACTTGATAGTTGGATCCTCCCATCTTCGGTAATTCTTCCTGGTACCAAATGCTCCGTTAAGTAATATATCCCCTTTCCACACCTCTGCAATAGGTGCTGGAAATTCACTCATGCAGCATTGAAATTGGGTGCATGATTGAAAAAGACCTGGGGCACTCAGCCCTAGGTCCAGACTCATGGAATTCAATATTTATAAAGAAATGCAAAGTGCAAGTAGCACAGGCACTCAGTATAGTGTGCAGGAAGAACTTGGACACGGGGGAGATACCAGATGTGATTTAATCAGCAGACATAGCCCCTTTACACATGGGAGGGAGCAAAGCATTGGCAAAGAATTATAGATCGGTTGCACTAATGTACCACATAATAAAAGTATTTGAGAGAGTGATCAGGAGTCAGGTCACCAGTTTCATGGAGACCAGTGACTTTCACAACACGGGCCAACATGGATTTAGAGCAGGAAGATCATGCCTCTCACAGCTACTTGACCACTATGACAAAATCACTGAGGCATTGGAAGAAAAACAGAATGCAGATGTAGTATACACGGACTTTGCAAAGGCATTCGATAAAAGTGACTATGGAGTGATACAGGGGATTCCATCACAATGGTTGTATTATTCAAATCACTTATGCTGTCCCATCTTGAGTACTGCTCAGTACTCACTTCCCCTTCAGAGCAGGAGAGATTGGTGAAATAGAGGGAGTTCAGAGAACATTTACGGCATACATAGACACGATAAAGTACCTAAATTATTGGGATCGTCTCAAAGCTCTCCAAATGTACTCGCTAGAAAGGAGACGAGAGATATTAAATAATATACACGTGGAAAATACTGGAGGGCCAGGTCCCAAATCTACACAGTAAAATAACAACTTACTGGAGTGAATGATATGAAAGAAAATGCAGAATAGAACCAGAGAAGAGCATGGGTGCCATAGGCACAATCAGAGAACACTGTATAAACATCAGGGGTCCATGGTTGTTCAACATCCTCCCAGCGAGTATAACAAATATTGCTGGAACAACCGAGGACATCTTCAAGAGAAAACTAGATAGTTTTCTTCAAGAAGTGTCGAACCAACTGGGCTGTGGTGGATATGTGGGCCCGCGGGCCGCTCCAAGTAACAGCCTGTTGGACCAAGCTCTCACAAGTCAAGCCTGGCCTCGAGCTGGGCTTGGGGAGTAGAAGAACTCCCAGAACCCCATCAAGCAGGTATCAAGCAAGCAAGCAGGTATTGAGGTGTGTCTTTTGCTACTTGTATGGTTCCTCAGACCTCAGACCATTCTAGTACAGAATATTTTCTACACATGCTTACTGCATCAACTGAGATGTCCACCCTGTTTCTTTCACATTCTTATCTGTATTATGAATTTGAACAGGTCATCCTTCATCTTAAATGTCAATATGACATATTTTCCCGAAGCATGATGCCTGGTCCACCTTTCTTCTAGCATGACTTAAACCTATGCATTACATCATGCTCCTCTACCCCCCACCTTTCAACCCCCCCCACCCCCAACCCCCTCAGGTCCTCAACCGTCTCCAAGACTTGAACCCTGACACATCCATAAGCTCCTCTTCTTCCTCCCCTGCTCCCCTACAATTGTGGAGTCTGTGGTGTTCCTCTGGTGTCACCGGACAGTGTTTCCGTCCCACCTTCCCAGTTTTCCCGTCTGTCGTTTTGTGTCGCCTCTCTGCCTCATCGTTCTCCTTCTACTGTGGGCCCTGCCCACTCAGTTCCCATCTCCATCTTCTTGTGACCACTCCTCCTAGGTGTAAGGGGCCTCAGCACTGAGAGGGGGTGACCATGCATAGCACATGCGCAAACAGCTCTCAGCACTGCCTTGCATCTCATGCCTACAGCATCACTTAATAATACTGACAAAAAATAAATAAGTAACTGCGATCATTTAACATTGATATTGTTATAGAAGATCCTGACTGTGATGAAGACAATGTACAAGGTTCAGATATTGGTGAACCCAATGTTAGTTATGATTGTCACAGCACAGGGGGAGACACATATAGGCACAGTTTGGTGCATATACACATCATGAAACAGGATCTCATGTTCCTTTACAAAATAAATTTGTGGAAAATTATTCATATTCAGGATTTCGTGACCAGGATTTTGATAATGATAACAGTGAGATAATGATGGCTAGAGTTAGCAATGTATGTAGCATATTGGAGGGCATTTTATCGAGTCAGGTGGTGTCAGCAACTGACATGCGTGTGATGCTATGCTCTGCTTGTATTATGAAATTACCACACCTGCCAGAACTGCTTATAGTGATTTGTTATGATGCATAAAAATGTAGTTACCTAGAATGTTCATATAGTGTAATAACAGGACAAATTTTGTTTTAATTTCCATGGAATATAATATGTGTGCATATCAGACACAGCACACCTCATTTCGTATTCTGGTTTTAGTAAACGGTTTCATTTTGAGGTCTTCATGAAGACAAGCGAAAATCCTACATCACACATGTAGGTGCTTAGAAACAGCAGTAATTGAATCATGGCGTCCCCAGCTACCACAGGATATTCATCTTGAATTGTACACAAGAAAAACTCCAAATGGTCCTTTTCTTCAAATAACATTTTACACTGCTTGATCTAAGCTCGATCATTTGCTCTGCAAAACCAGTAACACTATCAGGGAATTCAGTCAAGTGCCACACAAATGGGTTTATAATCCACTGATATAGACCTTTTTATTTCAGGACAGTATTCCTTGAAACATTTAGTTTTGGTAAGTGGGTGATCATGTCATCCTCCAGTTCACTGAAATCAATCCCATCAGCATCTTCCAAGAACAAAGAAAGGGTGGGGAAGGACGCAATTTTATGTTGTCTGCCTTTTTCTGAGGGAAGCCCCTACGGCTCCTCGGAGCTATCCAGGCTGATATACTAATGTCAGACTTTGGCATCAGTCATCTGTATGGAGTTCTGTGGGCATACTGGGGACCACGGCCAGAACCTGGTCCCCTCAGAGAGACAAGGGGAGCAATGGCCTATAGAAGCCCCCGTGTGGTTGGAAGCATTCTATGTCTGCCATCGACCGAGTCAGACACCCAGAAAGGTAAGCATCCCAAAACAAACCCCTATTCTGGTGAAAATATTGCTACCAAAAGCCGAACAAGTGGCTAGAACTTCCCCAAACAAAAACGAGCAAACTAGTGTGACGTCACCCGTTGCCGTGCCGCCGTCTGCGTAGTTTCCCCC